CGTAGTCGTACCTAGAGTTTTCTGATATTAGCCCAGCTTTAATTCAGAGCTAATTAAATGATCAGTTACACTTACCTGAGATCCGGGTTACACAAGAAGAGTGGATGGCCTCCTTTGGTGGGATTTTTCCAGAAAAACATTGTTGCTAATTAACAGTCAAATGAAGGCTGAAATAAACTTTTTGATTTCCTTTCCTCTGTGAGTTGAACTGTTTCTGAATGAGAGATTGTTGAGCTAAACTCACAACCGTTATATGCTAACGGCTAGCGGCGTTAACTGAGCTGGTGTTGCATGTGAAATTGTAAACGCTGGATTTTCTGTCATTTGCTGGTTGTAAGATCAGAATCAGAATCACTTTTATTGGCCAGGTATGTGCACACATACAATGAATGTGACTCTGGTTTTACGTTGCTCTCAGTGTACAAACACAGACTGAGCATAAAGAAACAGAACAACAGGCTCAACACAATACACACAGACTAATATGTACAGTTCTACAAATATAAACAACAATAACAGCTGTACACAGTCGACAATAGCCGCTTTGAGTAAGAAGCACTCGTGTTTTCTTCTGAAATATTGGCTGTAATTTTGGCGAGCTTGCTGTGTAGCGGTGGAGCATTGATTCTGTGGAAATAGTGCAGGATGAAGCTTTAGCTTTCTGTTGAGCAAATATTTCATTTGATCATTTCTTTTTGAACACAGAGTCCCAGGGGGTGTAGAGAGATTCCTGCAGGCGCAACCCGGTCTCACTCCCAAGTGGTCAAATCCTGCAGCTCGGTCAGTGGCCCTCCGCTTCAAAATGTGACGCTGTAGGTATCCAGCAGCAGAACAAAGAGGAGGATCTGAATCTTTATCTCAAACATCTTCTTTGGAATTTGTTCTTCTATTATACAAAATGACTTTTACTTTTCATCTGTTTCTGTTTAGTTTGTACTTTTATTGTTTTCTCTTGATTTGATTTCATCATTGTGCTTCTGTTTGTATCCTTTCTCCTCACTGTGTGGAACAACAATAAACCTGCTGAAATATCTGATCAAAATATCAATCAATAGAATATGAAATCAATCCTGACAGCAGGAAAGAAAATCAGTCCCTCAGTTCAGTATGTTTGTGACTCTGGCTGAGATGGAGGTGAAATATGTGAACCTGGGCTGTGGTTTACTGCTCTCTTCCTGTCACACACACTGTTTGACATCTGTTGGTTTTTGTTCAGGCTGCAGGGATCATTTCTCACTGTGGGGACCATACTTCCAACAGGAGCAGTAGTAGGTGGCTGAATGACTGAGTTTAACTGTCTGGATCTGCAACTCACAGCCGTTCTCTTTATTCACAGCTGAGAAATCATCTTTCTGAGGATGATTGTAACCTGAATATAACTTGACCATTACTCCTATCAATATTCAACAGAATCACTCTGAATGTTTCTGTGTCTTTCTTCTGGTACCAGAATACATAAGGGTAGTCACACTGGTCAGTTCCTCCACAGCTGAAGGAGACGGTTTGACCAACTCTCCTGGTCAATGTTAAATGATCCTGACTCAGCTCTGCTGCCATGGCAACCAGCGCTGTAGAGAAACAGACAGATAGATGAAGGTTAGTGTGACAGTGTTTGTTAAAGGTTGACTTTGTTGGCTCCTGATTGGCTGGAAACACTCACCTGAACACAGACAGCACAGAGCAGCAGCTGGGAGGAAAAGCATTTTGTGCAGTGGTGTTTCCTCTGGTGAACCTGGGGAGAAGTGGCGCTCTGATGCAGCTGAGGCCAAACAAGGACGAGCTGTGAGATCAGACGAGGGCCACGTGGTTTCTAACAGGTCCTCAGACCTCCCATCAGCCCCTGCGGCCGACAGATAAGGCTGCCGCTGCTGATTGACAGCTCGGCTGAAGCTGCTGTGTGCTTTTCATTTCTTATTGACACTATTTCTCTTTGTTTTATTCTCATTATTTGGAGCTTTTTTCTGGATGATTCTTTTTTCCCAGACTTCTCTGTTTCTCTGAACTGATTCAGTGAGAAGTTTCTTCGTCTTGATTTGAATCTGACAGCAGATGAAAAATCTGGGTGACGATGATGCAGAAATAGAAAAAAGCATTCCTGTTGGCACAAACACATTCAGGTTGGTGGTGAATTTAGTAACACAGACTGTTATCTGTTGTTTAACAGCTGGGATGAAAATACAAAACTACAAATCCACAAAACTCCTCAACTGTGATTTGAAGCCTTAAACGTCCCCTTACATTTCTGTCATTTCATTTCATCATTTCATTTCTAGGACACATAAAACCTTTTCCACACACAGTATCACATCTTTATTGTGGATTCTGTTGTTCAGTCTCTTCATTAAAGCTACAGGATGTTTCACTGAGTGAAATATTCAAACTTAATATATAGAATACATAGAGGAACAAAACTGTTCAGAGATGAGGGTTATTCAACATATTCCAAACTCTATCAAACATGTGTCTGTCCTGTTTTAGATCATGTGTCAGGAATATGGGGATACTAAAGATTTCAGGAAAGTGAACAGGTCCATAATCGGGCAGTTTGTGTTGTTTTGGGACTTCATAAATATGAGCCTGTGTTGGCAGTTAATGGTGATATGGGGGGGGGGGACCACTGTGAAGTAAGATGGAAGGCCAGCATGGTGAGTCTGTGGAACAGGCTGCTGGGTTTACCAACCAACAGGGTGGATAATGAAATATTTTACTGGGATCTGTCTGTCGGAGGCGAATGGGCAACTGACATATCTGATATATTAGAAGAGTGTGGACTTGAAGACAATTATCTCCAAAAAGCAAAGGTGGATGTGGAGGAGTTTAAATATCAAGTCCGGGCTAAATGCAGACAATCATGGTCAGAAGAAATCTGGTAAAAGCCCAAACTGAGAACTTATTGTTTATTTAAGAAAGATTATAAATGTGAAACATATGTTGTGTATCATTTGTCTAAAAGTCAGAGCTGACTCTGTGCACAGTTAAGATGTGGTATATTACCACTACACATTGAAACAGGAAGATACAGAGGTGTGACCGAAGCTGAAAGAATCTGTGAATATTGTGAGTTAAATGAGGTGGAGAATAAAACTCATTTTATTTTATACTGTCCTTTATATCATGATTTACTACAAATATTGTTGAATAGAGTTCATGTCCCTGATTTACATTGATAAGTATTGAGAATGGAGCTTTAATGGAATACATTTTTGATAATGTTTTTGCATTTTCTGAATCTCTTTTTAAATCATGGGATAGGAGGAGAAGAGTAACATATGACAGATAAATTCCTCAGACTGTATATGGATTGTAGACTACTGCTTTATGAACTGGATCAAATGTACCGTGGACAGTGTTAACGTGGACTTTGTGTCTCTGTGTTGTTTGGATTTGTGTATTGTGTCTTGTTCTTAGGGGGGCTGTGTTGGTCTGTTTGTGCATTTGTTGTATTTCTATTGTGGGATATCTTTTGGAACATCATTTGTGGAAGGTTTATGTTCATGTTTGGCTGTTGTTTATGTGTTTTGCTGTAAGATGGCGGAGGGTTAACATGCTGCAATGTTTGCTCTGTTGTTAGTTAATGTGTCTGAATAATCCCATGAGGGATCGGTGTTGAAAATGAGCAGAAACAAAAATAAAATCTTCATTCAGTGTTTTCTGATCTGATGAAACTATCAGCAGGACCTCATCATCTGTCTGTGTCTTTCTAACTGTTACTAATCACTGATCAATAAATCTGTTTTATGATCTTACAAACAAGACTTGGTTAGGTTCAGGGAAAGATCGTGGTTTGGGTTCAAATAATCACTTTGTTAAGGTTAGGGGACCTTTGTCGTCACGGTTACAATAATACGAACTTCATTATTACATAATGTTTGATCATTATTTTAAATAAATCATCTTTACTATGTTCATATATTATTTTCCAGTGAATCCCTCACTTTCAACCTGTAGTTATCAGCTCATACTACAGTTTATATGACAGTACTTCTATCTGTTCTGTGCTGCTGTGAAGAATAAAACCTTCACTCTGCTGCCCTCTAGTGTCTGCAACAACACACTGCTTCAAACTGTACTGCTACTGTCACTACTACTACAACTGTTTCTACTATTAGTGCCTTCTGACAGGGGTGGACTGGCCATCTGGCATACCGGGCATCGTCCCCCAATGTGGGCCGTTGACCCAATGTGGTCCGGTCCGGTCCGGTCCGCTATGTTTTTTCTTTTCTTTCTCTCTCTAAATTCCCTCCAGTTGGGCCAATTGGCTACAGAGGGCTAGCAGTGTGTTGCCAGCATCGACACATATTATTGGTCTATGTTTGTCATTGTCAATCAATCAGTGCTGTCAATCACAACACAAACCAGGGTGGGCGGGACCTCATGGCATGGGCCGGAGTGGCGGGACGGGCTGCTGCTGAGCTGAAGATGGATAACCGTAAGAAACGCCCGGGTGGGCTGAAAAACCACTTAAAAAGCTGAAGTCTCTGGAGGTGGAAGCTGCTAAATGTTGGACATTGACAGACCTATTTGGTGCCGGGGTCACCACCCCAGCAGGTGCTGCTGCGCCCGGGAGACGAGCGAGTGGAGGCAGACATGGTGAGTAACGTTAGCCTGGTTTTTCCATTGAATGTGATGGGACCTCATTAACTGCATACTTGTGACAACATATTAGCCCAGAGTTGAAGGGCTGTGACTGTTGGTAGTTGTGCTTGATTTGGTTTAAATATGCCGAATTGTGATATTATGGGTTATTATTGTTCTAAGTTAGCCAACAGCTGCTTGTTGCCATAGCAACAGTAACCATTGACATGGACTGATGACTGGAAATAGAGATGCAGAATCAAGCTGTATTGTAAATACAGATGAGATACTTTGAATTTGAGCACAAAATACAAGTAAACCTAGAGGAAATAATGAGTTTAATTTGCAATATTTGCCATTGAATTTATTGTAATCTTTCAATTCATAGGGTTAGAGACTTAATAATGTCTCCATGTCCCTCTCAGGTTGAACACTTGACATGTGAGAGCCTGAGGAGTTGTTCCCCCTCCGTCCATTTTCAAGGACTTGCTCTCTCTCTGCCTCCACTTCACCACTTTTTGGCTACTGAGACGTCTCTGATTGGTTGAGTATGTCATGTGTCTTATAATGTTATATGAATTCATACTTGATTTGTGATGATGACTTAATAATGTTTCCATGTCTCTTTTAGGTTGACCACCCTATATATGAGAGCCTAAGGAGTTGTTTTCCCTCTGTCCCCTTTTGAGGACCTGCTTTGTCTCCTCCATCATTCACTGGGCCACTTTTGGGTTCCTGAGCTTATTTCATGTGGTGAGAGGAATGCAATATGTGTATGTTTAAAGGTTTATGTGAAGAAACATACTATATGTGTGATAAAATGACAATTGGTAATTCATAAATGTCTCTTTATATTCTCTGCTACCATCATCTCCTGTCAAACAGGAGAGAGAGAGAGAGAGAGAGAGAGAGAGAGAGGTTATTATGCAACTTGTTTTGTCTCAGATTGAAACAAAAGGTTTGATTAGGATTATTTCCTGGTTGAAGATTTTCATATTGATGATTTGAATTTCAAACATCTGCATATCTTTTAAGTTCAATGAACAGTTATGCAGGTAGGCCTTAGGGCTCTTTTGAGACTTCAGTCATCCTTCATGACAGATACATTTGTTCACTAAGTGTCACTACATCACAAAAAGGCTACATGGCTACATATACTTGTCAGTACACAGATACTGAGTACAAGTTGTGTTTGCTGTTTCTTGCAGGTCATGAATTTGGTGAGGAGTGGAGCTGGCTGGCTGCGGACGAGGAAGTAGGGCAATATATACATGTGCACATACACGTATATGAGAATGCATATCTATTCAGACCTGTAATTCATGTCTTAGACTTTTTCACACAGCTATAGATCATTATTTGTTTTTCAATTCTCTATTTATGGTTTCATAATGACTGAGTCACCGTTAAAACAAATGAGTTTCAGCTCTAATGCTGCTACTGTCTGTAATATGTTTCTATTTAGATTATTTGTCAGGAGATTTTGTTATTATTGTCCCAGTCTGCTTTTAACTAATGCTGGGCTTACACCAAAAGATTTTCACAGTCACAGACTAAAAACTGAAAGGGTAGCATGAGGGTTCTTCCCGTTAGTCTCGTCCCACCCCTAGTCATGACATAACTTCTGTTGTGATTTGACACTATAATGAATAAAGACTGATTGATTGATTGCTATAGCTGTCAATTTTAGTCCTTGAGTTCATAGTTACGTGCTTTATTTGTTAACTGCTATCAAGGAATATGACTCTCCTTTGTAGTATGCATGAGAGGAGATGCTGCGAGATTTGTGGACTTCTATGTAGTGTCTGCTGATAATGTAGTGGGCTGGTCTGGACACAAAATGCCAGGGCTGAATTTTTGTCCCAGTCCACCCCTGCCTTCTGATGTTGTTGAATTCATCTCTAGTATTTTGTTTCTATTTTAGATTTTATTGTTCAATCACACAGTCATTGAGAGTTACTGTTGCTTGATCAAACTGGTGTTTATGTAGAGCAGGGCCAATGAGCAGCATCTCAGTTTTATCAGAATTTAGGAGCAGGAAATGATGTGACATGTATTTTAACACAGCAGGCAGCAGTCCTCTAATTTAATAAAAAAGAGGTAAAATGGTGCCCCGTGTGAGGCACAGTACTGGAGGCAATTATTCCTAATTGTGCAACATTAATATTTCAGCAGGTCGTCCACGAATTGGAAGGTTGTTGGTTCGATGCCTGGCTCCTCCGTTGCATGTCAAAGTGTCCTTGAGCAAGATACTGAATGAGTTAGTTTCTGTTCGATGGGCTTTGACATCACTGTGTGAATGTGTGTGAAAAGGGCCGAATGTGGCTGTAGTGGAAAAAGTGCTTTGAGTGGTCAGAAGACTAGAAAGGCGCTACACAAGTACAGTCCATTAACCTATTAGTATTTACCAGCCCTTTAGCAGCTATTTCACCTATGGACGATACACTCTAGCTCTCAGGATCACACATTGGGTTCACTCCTGAGAACAAAGCATCAGTGTTAAATGTGAAAACTGATTCACAACACAAGAGGGCGCCTTCATCCTGCTAACCAGGGATGTAGTGGAGGTTAAAGCACCTCAACTCACTTTGTCAGCTCAGTGATCTCCTGCTCCAGCTTCTCCTGAAGCTCTTTGACTCGACTCACTTCAGTTTCCTGCTGGGATCTGACCTGCTGCTTCACATCGGAGCTTCTTTTCTGGATGAGACGGATCAGCTGAGTGAAGATCTTCTCACTGTCCTCCACTGCTTTATCAGCAGAGCGACTGATAGCCTCCACCTCACGCTCCTCTACAGCTACAAAGGGACCCATCTTTGGCCCAATCTTTCTGACTGAACATGCATTTTTGTTGTTTAGTTGAATATTTTGAATACAAATTGTTTGTGTGTCTTGAGGGGTTAGCCAGAACCAGCCTGGTTTGCCACTGTGGCAGCTACATTAGGACTCAGCTAACAGCAGCTACATTAGCAGTAAGAGTTAAGGTAGGTAGAGCAGCCGGAGGACGTCAGTGGGAAAACCAGACCATATTTCCTTCATAAAATATGATGCAGTTTCACCCAAATCACTGATGAAGTTGTGTTTCTGTACAGTAATCAGTGAGCTCTGGCCCTCCAGAAACAATCTGCTCCGGTAGAGTTTGCTCTCTTTTAGGAGAAAGAGTTTTCAGGCTTTACTGCATTCTACAAAAGTACATTTCTGGGAGAGGTAGGGTTTCTTATTGTGCATTACATAGTTCTTAAGAAGGATTGAAAATAATGCTTCATTTTTGAAATTCATTATTCACTTTTGGTGATTAGAGTCCTCTGGATACCCTTGCACTTCCTCTGACTAACCACAGGGTGGTGGTGTTTCTCTCTGATGTTTAATGTCAGCACCAGCAGCAAACACAGAAATCCACCATATGATAAACTTTAGTTTCCAATCTGTCACACAGCCATGGTGGAAGAGCTTATTTATTGGTGTGACACCTATCTAACACCGTACAGAGACATGTAATGTCACACAGGTCTTGTCTGGTGAGACAGTTGCAATATGTTGAAAATGATCAAACTGTTCAGGGTTATAACATACATGATAGAAAAACCATCTCTTAATATGATATTAAATATATCATAAATGTACCTTTATTATTATTTTATGTTATTGATTGCTGACTCATAAGATTGTTTAAAATCCAGATCATGAAGAAATAAGACTTGTCAACAGAGGTCAAGGAGCCAGAAATCCCCTCCCCTAATGAGTACAATAAACAATAAAAACAAAAAATGAGACATCATGAATTAATCATCAAGAGAGAAACATGTCTTGAAATAATATCTGTTAATTCAATTTGAAGAAACGATGATGGTACAGAAAAACACAAATATCTGATGAATAAAATGTCATAAACTGACACAATGTTCAGTTTTCTGATAAGAAGGACAGAGGCCTCGTTAGAGTTTGAGAGAGTGAATCTTCAAATTGTTTTTTCAGCAAAAAAGTTCATTAGTAGTTTTCTGATGATCCCTGTTTAAGTTTTTTCCAATTTAATTTCTTATCAGTTGAGAAACTTGAGATATGTATTTTCCCTCTACTGACACTCTAGCATAATCTCCGTCATACCTCCTGCCCCTTCCCACAATCATTATGAAATCTCACTTTTTAATATTTAATGTGCAATGTGAAACCATCTTGAAACTGTCACCAATTCCTCATTTAATTTCACTTACTAGAGTGTGTAAGTTAAGATTGCAGAGAACAAAAAAGGAAAACAAAACCTAGAAACTAATGAAAAATCATTCCTATACATTTTTAGAAAACAATATTTAAGCAGAGAGTTTGAGGAGTTCATGAGTGTGTACAGCAGCAGATATGAATCTGTTCTCAGTGGTTATTAGGACTCATAAAAAACTGTTGACAGCGAATCAACACTTCCTTTCCTGCAGCAGACGGGCTGTGTGGGTTTCCTCTCTGCAGCCTCCTCACCGTTAGCTGCACTTTTTCACATTAATAACACAATGACAGTTACAACCATCGACTCTGGTTAAAGAATCATTCCAGGAACTTCAGTTTGATTTCAGCTCTCAGTACTCACTGTGAAAGTTGTCTTTAATTCAAACTGTTTTATTGATTCTGTAAAGGTGACAGTTTAATGACAGTTTCTCCAGCCTGACTCCAACTTGTAACATAATACAACATATTAGGACATGTGGGAAAGGATCATAGCCTGCATACATTAACATCATCAATACAAAGACAATTTCTAATTTATTTGTTCATTCTTAACATGTTACAAATAAGAATAGAAACTGATCAAGCTGCTGTATCATCATTTTATAGCAGTTGTAGCTTCAAAGCAGCTCGCTCTGCTGTTTGTCAGCAGTGTCGTCAGCGTAGAGATTTACATCCACACTGACACAGTTATAAAAGGGCCTCAGCACTAAAGCCAGTGACACTGATTGTGTTTCTATTTTTTGCTATGAAGCCAAACTGAAATTCACAAATACAATGCAAGAACAGAAAATAAGAACATAGAAAATATAAACAGTAAATATCTAGCAGACAGATAATGATTCAGCTTTTCTATGATTATACGAGTCACAATTAAAAGTGGAAATAAACTAGAGCTAAACTAAACTAAACTAACACTACAGTAGCAAAGAATTTACACTAACAACCTCAAATATATATGTGTATGTGTATGTATTTATATTTTCTGGAGTACTTTATTGAACCTGTTTTTTAAAAGATAGGTTTCCCAATGAACCACAAAAATAAAAAATTAAATCTAAATTGATATTTCGGTCTGCTGATCAAAGTGATAAATGAGATGAACTGATGATATTTGATAGAGAGAAAAGGAGAGCAGAAAACAGTCAGTCAGCATGTGTGCAGTTGGTGGACGGTCCCTTGTTTCTGAGGATCATCAGCAGAGAGAGTCCACAGCAGTACACCAGACTCTTCACTATCAGCACTGTGTACATCAGACAGAGCAGCTTCACCTGGCACTGAGACTGGAAGGACACTGACAGACAGACAGACAGACAGACAGACAGACAGACATACAGGTCAGTCTTCTCTCCACACTGTTTCAGTCTGTTCAACTGTGTAAATTTCATCAGTATAACTTGGACCTTTCCAGACGGGACAACCAGCTTTACATGAAGACAGGGGTCAGCTACAGTTTGAATGAAAGCTCAAAGGCCCTTATTAAATACAACAAGTCAGGGCCCCACCAAGCTTTTAAAGTTCCTAAATAAGATTTGATTTTCTGTTTGATTCAAAACAAAAACTTGGAGCTAAAAGACACTAAAAAGCTCCATAGACCTGCAGAGTTGGTGATGAATATCTGTGAGTTCACAACTACCAAAGACACTTTCACTTTACACAGAGTCATTACATTAATTCTTAATATAGAAATATTCATAGAGGAGCTTTAAGATATAGTCCCCAATGTTTTGGCAAAGAGGCAGCAGGTGATCTTACAGTCAGCTTGCTGCAGAGCTGGCAGGTCTGCTGGCTCTCTCTCTGGAGGACAGGAGGCTGCTGGAGCTGGAACCTCTGAAACAGAAAAGGAGTCAAAAAGAAATGTCAGTCCTCTGCTCCTCTGCTCTCTTTGACAGCGTCTCCACATGAAGCTGAATCACTGCTGAACTCAGTCACCAAGCCTTCATTACCTTGTTCTGTTTGGGCCTCTACTGTGCCCCCCTCGTGATGGACGGAGCAGCGGTATTTATATGTGCTGTTCTCTCGCTGAGGGATCAGCAAGATGGAGGTGGTGCGTCCCGACTCTCTGAGCTCCAGCTGCTCTCCCTCAGCAGAGGTCACGTCTTCCTCAGTACCATTGTCCTTTTGTCTTTTCCAGGAGAACCGGACCAGAGGAGGAAACATGTCTGAGGCCACACACAGCAGGGAGCTCTTCCCCTCCAGGTGGGCTCTGGATGCTGCTGGGTACACGCTCACCACGGGCTTCACTATCTGCTCATCTGAAGTTTGACAGCAGCAACAAGCAGCACAGACACACATTCACACAGTCAACAGCAGCTTACAGCACTGCACTGCATTCAGTCTGATCCTGGAAACTACATGGACTCTGATCACTAAACTACTCATCAATACAGCACAAAGTTCAATTCTTCAATCTGCCTTCAAGAAAAGAAAAAGTATTTTATATATTATGGTTAATGTTATTTTTTATAGCAAAGGACAAATTGATCTTAACATCAAACACAACAGCCGATGGATGATCACAATATATTAGATATATTATATATTTACCAATATTCTTCACTCTAACTGCCAGATATCTACGGATATGAGACTTTATTGATCCTTCATGGGAGAATAATTAATATAACATCATAAAATAAATATAATATATATATAATAAATATTGAAATGTAGAAATCTTTAAATGTAAACTCAAAGTTAACTCTGTAGCTGGTTTTTAACTAGGAATATTTTTTAGATATTATTTACCCCATTAAATTATTATTTTTATCATTTTATTGTTATTTTATCCTGTTTATTTCCTTGTAAATTTCATTGTAAATGTATTTGATCATTTTCTTTTAAGTCAATCTTATTGATTTCATTTGTCTTTAATTCTGGTTTATTAATCTATTTGATGTAGTTTTTAGTATAGCTTTAAACACTATTTTTATATCTGTAAGATCTAATTAACTGTATTTTATTTCATTTATTTTTGTCTTTGTATTTTTTGGAAAATCTGATTGAATAGTTTTTGAAATTATAATATGTTCAGTATCTGATACATATTTACTGTTAAAAACTATAAAATGTGTTCAGTTTTACAAATTGGAAATTGTGTTAATCATCATATAAAGTATTAAGATAGAAATGTGTATGTATGCTATTATATATCATCATTATAGAAATATATTAATGAATGTGCATCATCCACTAAAAGACAGTACAATTGTCATTATTTACATTTTACCATTAAAATTCTATTTTTTCCTACACAACATAGTTTAAGTTAAATGCTTTTCAAACACATTTACTGATATACATTCAATCATATTTAATGTATTATATTGTTTTATAAAACAAGAGATGGTTCTGAATTACTGAGATGATCAAATACTGTATATCTGTAACATTGCCAATATTGCACAATGATCACTGACATCATTAAAATATATGTTGAGGTGTATTTGTTATAATTAAATCCAACAAGGTCGACTTATTTTGTGCTTTAGGATTTGGCCTTGTTGGTGCATTAATGAGTTGCACAAGGTTTAAGGAGTCACAGAGTTCTTTAAAACAATCTGCCAGCAGATACTAAAACATGTGTTTACTTTTACACTTTTGATATTATATTAAACATCATATACTATTTATATTAAAAGTCTATCAAGATACAAATACATATTTATACATTATATATCAGTCATCTATATTCATCATATATAGAAATAGAAATATATAAATTGGTACGCATACATTCTCTTTATATCCAGTATCTGTTGGCCTTCAGCTATGAGTATATTTTCCTTTTAAAGACATTTGTACCATCACATAAAATACAACTAGCAAAATCTTACCAATAAAAAACACTTTTTTCTTATACAACACATTTAAAGACACATACTGACACATATTTAATAATATATAATATCATATATTATCTAGTTTCATTAAAACAGGAGATGGTTATGAATTACTGAGATGATCAAATACTGTATATCTGTAACATTGCCAATATCATACTTTTTCTATATAAATCAGTTTGATCTCATGCAGAAATAAAGAATAACTTCAGTTGTGCAGTGAGATTTAAACATCTTTTCAGGAATTATGAACCTTTTTTATGTAACAATAGCTGCATGGCTGCAAGAATTCTCTACTAATTATGAAAAAACTAACATGTAAAGCCTGAAGCAGCAGAAACTCATTAAAAACACATTTTCAACTTGTTCAATAAAACAACTGAAGGAAAATGAAGGTTTATTCTTACCTGTTACATACAGTTTAGTTCCAGAGCCAAAGATGAGGTACCCACCTCCTCCCACAGTGAGAGAGACTAATACAAAAACCTGTCTGCTGTTGAATGTCTCTTTAGACACACTAGCAGTGTCGCTCTATGGATGGTAATGTCTGTCCGTCCACTACTTTAGTCCACATGGATTGGACCTGGACCAAAGGATGGATGGATGGACAAATAAAATCTTGTACAGACATTCTTGGTCCTGGCTCCTGGAAGTTGCTCCATGTCCTCCCTGATTCATATTCTTCATATACGTTTACAGTCTACCTATACTATTCATTCTATTGTACATATTGTTGTTTTGGTCTATTCTGTACATACAACATTTATTGTATCTCATCCTGGAAGAGGGATCCCTCCTCTGTTGCTCTTCAAGGTACAAAGTAAGTTATTCTGTCAGTATACAACCAAGGTTGCACAATGAAAAGAAAGTAGCAGGTGGGCTGGTCCTGCCGTTCTGGCTGGGTGGATCGTCTCTTTAATCCAAACCCCACACTTCCTTTGCTGATGACTGCAGTCTATTTCTGTCAGAGGTAATACGTGTTTGAGCAATAAAGCTGAAAACAGATTGAACCTAAACAGAGAAGTTTGAAGGAGCTAGCCTACCGACCGCAGCATCTGAATGTGCAGCCGTTCCCAAAGCAGTAGAAATAATCAGGAGTTTTCCACCTTGATTTTTCACCTGTTAAAGGGTTTTTGTGGAGTTTCTCTTTATCTGAATGGAGGCTGTGAGGATAGAGGGTGTCGTATGCTGTACAGATTGTAAAGCCCCTTGAGGCCAGTTTGTGATTTGTGATATTGGTTCATTGGGTGAAGGGATGAGTCTTAAAGTGGAGATGAAACAGTCAAATATACATACATTATAATATATAGATGATAATAATAATCTAAGTCTCTTGCTCATTAGGAACAAGAATTGTACATTATGTGGATAAGAGGAGCTTCACTGAGTGAGCCTCTGAGAGAAACTCCGGTGAACAGTGTAAACTGACTTTAAAAAGATGGCTAGCTCAGGTATTAACTGTAATATGTAATGAGAGTGCACGATTTTGCCTGTTTCCACACGCACTCACGCCATACATCCAATTTACCACGCAAATGAGAAAGTGAGAAATTCCGATCTTGGGCCGAGACTCATTCGTTCCTTTTTAAACTCCCCGACGGTAGAGGCGCTGCAGACTAGGTATTTAACAATGAAATGTCGTGCAATTGAGTACTCACTCTCTTAAACTTTAAATCTTAATAATAAATTATTTGTGTGTGTTAAAGCTGTCATAACAAGCAGCAGGAGAGCACCTTGTTAACCTCGTGGTATACTGCATGCTCACAATATCAGCTCATTGCATTGTTTATTTACTCACATGGCATTTATCTTTTTATTAACAGGCCAAAGAAAAGGACTGACACTGTGGACCTTTTCTGTAAGACCAAACAGCACTTCCAATAGGTAAGATGTATTCCAAAGAAAAATAAATACAGGAAATGTGTGCAATAGAAGTAGACATGTTTTTGTAACTGAGAGTAGAGTTATTAAACCGACATGACAATTTGAATTCTTTTAAGGTTTCAAAGATGTCCCATAAGAGACCTTTGCCAGGACAAAAGCGAAACCTTTTATTTTATTTAAAGAACCAGCCAAGTAAGAAAAGACAGACAAACACACTGACAGAACAGCCAGAACGACTGATAGAAACGACAGGACAACAGACAGAGGAGCAACACACA